GGCGCATCCCATCATACGCGGCGAGCAAGGCTGCAGGAGGACGCGATGACCTAGCTGTCTCCGCCCATACAGTCATCGCGGGCGAGCCTTCTAACAGTCCTAATTCTTCGGGGACTTTTTGATTCTGATTTTGTGAAATTGTTCATAATATACATCTCTATAAATAAACTTATGGTTAGAGTCACCGAGAAAGTCAAACATAATTCTGTATCAGGTCCTAGTTGTTTTTCTACCAAAAATGCCAATACTGTTTTTCAGGTGATCGACGTTGAGCGGAATCCCAACTTCAACTGCAGTTCTTTGAGCCAGTATGATCAAATCAAGATTGTTTCCGATTGCAATAAGAACATCTCAGAAATCAGTCGTGTACCAAGGATATTCCGGCCGACTCGGGTACAGGTCCAATGGCAGCCATGTCATTGAAGGTTTTCCTTGAAGCTAAACTGCAAATCCTTTTTCTTTCAGGATTGCGACATTGCCTGCCAAGCTGAAAAGCACTATAAAGCTCTCCACAAATACGTCCTTGATCTTTGGAAGATCCTTAAGCAGAAATACGAGAATTTCAATTTGGATGTAAGTCAAACAAAATAAATTTCTAATATTTTTTGCCATAGATTTTTTTGTTTGTGGAAAAGGCGCTAAGCGTCGAGCGAAGTCATTAAAGGAACAGTCAAAAAAGGGATGTGAGGGGTTGCAACAACGATTCGTAGGCGCTAGTTTGCCCTCAAACGAAGAACAAAGCAGATGAGACCGTCGAGAGCACCTTTAAAGCCATTTTCCACGTTGGCCATGCGGGCGGAGCCCTCAGGCGGGTTTCTGACATGACATGCTCACAGGTCACGGGTGTTCGAACGTGTGGTTTTTGAGGTGAAGTTCAGTCTAGTTTGCCCGCTCCCTTTCCCGACGGGACGGGACGGGATGTTGCGCTATTATTGGCGCTATTTATTGGCGCTATCCCTTTATTGGCTCTATTTTCCTTGCATTCTTTACTGAAGAAGTGAATATTTTGAGGTGGAGATCTAATTATCCACCACAAGCGCTCACATGAAACTATGTGTTAGAACTACTACATCACAGTGCTTTACTTAGTCAATATCCGCGAAATGGAATCGGCGGAGAAAGAGTAGGGAACTCATAACCCTCACCGGTATTACCTAGGAAACCTCCTTTGCGTCCCATCTGATCATAGTGAAATCCTGCTTTAAAGAAATATGCGAAATAACGATCGTTGTTCCCCAAACTGCCGTGAAACCATTATTTATTGCAGACACTCTCGGAACCTACAAGAAGTTCTTCAAATGGTCGGCGATCGCGTGAATCACGGGGGGGGGGACAGGGGAGGCCCACTAAATCCAAAGTGCTTTGAATGAAAACTAGTCAGATGATCGCACGACATGAGAGCACACAGCAGCAAACCCGCACCCGTTACTCCGATCCGAGATGAAAGAAATCAATAGCGACTAAAAAATAACAGTTTAATGACAAAGTCATTAGACAGATAAACAGAACCATAAATTGAAATGTAATATCAACGAGAATGATAAAAATCACCAAAAAGAGTTGAAATAAATTGTTAACGTAAAGGGAGAGCGAGAACTTATTATGAAATAATAAAGTTTTACGGATTCACTGCTGACGCGACGGAGCGAATCCGATTCGCTTTCTGCCAACATCGTAGATTTGACAGTATTGTCGAATGAATGGATCGCCAAGAATCCAGGATGGGCCAAATCCACCGCTATCCATTCCAAACAACGACAACATACAGCGGCCATCACCAGCTGGGACGATCATATGTTCTTCGGTTCAATGAGGTATACGTTTTGACCAATGGCGAGCTTAAGTGATGGTTGGGCGTAGCAGTTGATGAAGTACACGCCATGCGATTGGTCGTACTGTGAAAAGCGTAAAATTGATTGAATATGGAAGCTGGAGAGAGAAGCCGGTATGAATGTCGTAGAATCTCACCATGGCTCCGACAGCTCTGGCAATCTGAGAAACAACAGAGGATGGACCTCCAATCAATGAGGTACCGGTGTCGGAGATTACTTGATAGCGCTTTTGCCTGAGGAAATAACCAGACTTCACTCCATCCATCTGAAATATGTTAGCTACAGAACCGGTCATTCTGAATTACAGTACTCGTCCTTAAAACAACGAGAGGGAAGGTAATTAGAGTTTTCTTGCGAATGTCTTCTTCGTGATTTTCCTGAACAAGGGACCTCCTACATTTGACAAATGAAGTGGGGAAGAACTTACCACAAATTGCCAGTAGGTGGCGGATGAAAGAGGCTGGTAGGCGATGATTTGTCCACAATTTTGGGTGTCAATTCCACCATACGTATAAACACCGCCGTCAACGTTTTCCTGCTCTTAATGAGAGAAGCATGTTCAAGGTCTTACATCTAAGAGCTCATTCAAAAGGTTGGTCCAATTCAACTTGGGAACGAGTATCATTTCCTATTTTCCAGCAAGAATAAGAACAGCGGAATCTCGCACCCACTATATAGCAGATATAATCGCAATTGGGTGGGGCGGTGCTAAGAGGCGTGGAATAGGTCCACGCGGCTACATTTTCTACCAATAGGGACAGGTTTGGGTAAAAAGCAACCAGTAGTAGAGAATACACGGGATTTCACTGTTTAGTCGCTGAATTCGTATTATTCGCCTCTATCTGACCTTGGTGCCGCTCTTCTGCTCGTATTTTGGCTCAGGTCTTCTTTCGAAACTCACTTTGTCAATATCCGATGGTCTTCATATAAAAAAAACTCGTTTTGAGATGGTTTTCTCAAGAGCTCTCCGCGCCAGTTGGAAAACAATGGTCCGTTAGGAAAGTGTTTTTTTTTGAAAATTCCCCTGGATTTGTCAGTACCTTTGTCGAACGGCAACTTTCCTGGGATTCAAAGCAGTGGTGGCACCAAGGGCTAAGATAGTGCCTCATCAAATCCTAAACACTTGGTACGTTTCATTTTATCAGAATGTTTTCAATACTAATTTCATTTGGACCAACCTGCTAGATCTGATTTACCAACCTCCAACGTGTTTCATGAAAACTGTGAAGACAGGTTGATCGAGCAACCCCTGTTGTATAGCGTTGATGAGTGGAGGTGTAACCCCACCCTCAGCAATACTCGGGAACGCCAAGCCAAGGATACCATCAATTGGTTGCTGTAAAACTGATTTCAAAACCGCTAACACTTCTATGAGGTTCATGTGAACTTACTCCGGCAAAGAAGGGCGCTAGATGAGTCGCCTGTCCGAATACGGTTTTCCGAACGACCAGTGGGTTAGTGCCAGGTGAACCAAATCGAACTGTGTCCATGCCAAAGAATCCTGACGCCGAACCGGTACCATACTAAAACATCATTATTTAATGAGACGACAAACGTCATAATAGGCACCAGACTCCAGGGAAAACCCGAGAAACACTTTACCCACAAAACATTCCGTTAGTGTAAACGCCGATCAGGGTCTTGAATAATACGGAAGACTCGTAGAGTAATAGCCCTGAGGTGACTTGAGTAGGAAGAAGCCCACCTTACGAGAAGTTGAACAGCCCTATAACCCCCATATGAGCCCATACCCAAGCAATGTGCTTTCAGTCGGATCCACCTTTCCTCCCGTAATCTGCCACATATTCAAGCCACAAACCTGAATGTGCCATTTCCGTCCCTTGCGCACATATGTCGATGAAATCGCGGGATTGAATTTGCTTTTACCGTCACATGCGTCTTCATTACGACGACTGAAGGACATCCGAGGCATCCACGGGAAGCCACCTCCCCGACAACAACTCTGATCGCTGCAGAAGAATGGGCAGAACACTGAAAAAGGCACGATGAAGGAGAACGATTGACCGTCTCCGCCCATACAATCAACGTGAACTATGCATTTAAACGATTAAATGAAAAAACGCCTCTCCCCAAATTAAGTAATCTGGAGCGAACTCTATGGGGAGCGAAATGAAGCTATCAACCCGCGCATCAGTCGGATTCCGCCTTCTTTCGCAATCGGTATATCCTCGTTGTGAAATTTATATGAGAAGAGTCTCGTGTGCGATAACTAACTAGTATTTTAGTGATCCATCGGAGTTATGATCGTCATGCTTGCGAATGATAGGGAATATGGAGGGGCGTGCGTTGAATCGCTGCCAGCAGCCCTTTCTGCCAGTTGTCGTGGACCCAGGAATGGCACTATTGGTGGAAACTTCACCGCTTCAGTCCGCGCCCTTCACACGCCCTACCGTTTGCAAGGACTTCCGACACTGTCTCCTGTACGCCCATGGATGTTAGGGACCGCATCGAGGTGCGAAAGTTAAGGGGGGGGGTCGTATTGGCAGTTCCTTACAGTTTTTCCTAGATCTCTTGGATTTTGCAGGGATTCTTCATTTGTAATTTCAACTAAGCTAATATTTGTAATTGCAACTAAGCTAATATGGAAATGCTAGAACGTGACAAAAATACGCCCATGGTGCTCCAGAGGCTCCCACAGCTCACAACCTTCAAAACAATATCCGGCAGGATTTGTTCCAAGGCCTCAAGACCAAGTAATGGGGTAAGGGGTAATTCAATGGTTTTCTCTACCTTTCTCCAAGCTAAAGTTGTTGTTTTCTCTATGAATTTCATGAAAATATACCATCGATACTGCATTCTAGCGAGTAGCAGTTGCCACCGCTGCCGCCGCCGCCACCACCGCCGCCACCACCGCCACCACCACCACGTTTTCCGCATGTCACGTCGGGAATCCATAGGTTGGATGATCCCGTGTCGAGTACCACCTGAAATACGCCTGTCCTCCTGCCAGCTATCCCAGCAGCAGTTGGGTAAGTGTCATCGGAAGAAATTCAGTTGAAAATGACTTACCCTGAATTCTTGTTCAGGTGTTCCGATGGTGATATTTCCGAGGTATTCCTGGTCATCGAAGTCGCTAACCTAAACCGCTCATAAATATATCCCTCTGAAGCTTTTCTTCCCCGCCTTTCCTGAAGTAAGTAAACGCAAACCCTCTGATGGTATATGCTTTTTGATTTTGCGGCCGACATTTGTATCACAGAGCGAGCAGCATTCTTCATTTTGACATGTTCAGCCCAGGTTCCTTCGCGGATCATTTTCGCCCTTCTTGGTTCGATCTTGACGAGACGAACTTGGTGCACACCTGCCAAGGTGCAGCCCACTAGGGCTAGAGAAGCCAACAGCAGACGCATGAGGCTGAAAGTAGTTTAGTTATCTATGCGTCCATTATTTTGTATAAGCTCAAATGAGGAGGCGGAGGTGGTGTAGTGACAAGTGGCGCGCTTACCACTCGCGCGGTCCTGGGTTCGAATCCCAGGTCGACACCCGCCCAGGCCAACCAAGCCTTCTACCCTCCGGGGACGGTAAATTGGTACCAGATTCGTCTGGGAGGATAAGAACACTGACTTGTACATCGGCTGGCTCATTGTATAGGCCACATCGCATTCAATAAGCCACTACGATTCTGAATGGAAGTAGAATGCGTCCCACAAAGGATTGATCAACGGCGAAGACTTTAATCCTATCCTTAAAGCTCAATGAGACCGGGTTTGTCAGAGAAGCAGATTGAAAGAGTAGAGAGAGAGAGAGAGAAGTGGAGGACTTACAATAATCTTTACTATTTTCTCTGGGAATGGAAATTGTCCAGGCTGCGAACCGTAGACCTCGGGGAGTGATGGGTAGATCAGATCATTGTTCAGAATCTAATTTTTCGAGAGAGATTCGGGAGAGGAGGGGAAGAGGCTCGGAGAGGATCCTGAACTTCTGAAGTTTGAGGAGTTCCAGACGGATTCTCCGGTTTGTATTTTTGGTTTTCATCAAGTGAGAGATCTGCCCTCCCAACCCTCCTCGCTCATATGATCCAGAAAGGACTCTTTGACTTGGGGAGGGATAGGTAAAGCACAACCTTCAGGATATCACGGATACTGAGCCCGTAATTCGCAACTGAATCTCCATTTCAACATAGTCGACCAGTCCTGAGGGCTTTAGGGACCTGGACAACATGCCTCTTTCCCAAGTGCTCATCGCCACGACTTCATTGTTCTGCCATTGTAGTCGAGCCTGCTTTTGGGCGTAACAGCACTGCCGAAGGGGAGGCTGCGCTGCGCTTGTCTAACAAACGGCGGACCGTTTGCGTCCATTCCTAGTCAGGTGATGGTGGAATAAGCGAGGAGAATAGTTTCAGAGTTGCTTTAGAGGATCAGGAAACAAGCGCCGCAGATAGGCTAGGGCTTAGTACAGAATCGGATCCTTGAACGCAAAACTCCACTTACCTTACAGATATAAGGCAAAGTTGAATTGGAGAGTTAGTGAATAACGATTTTGAAGAGTACTTCGATTGTCCGCTTTGTACTTTCATTTTATATAAGGTTATTCAGCTGTACAAATAAGGAACCGCTGGATTGGCACATGGTGTCATATGAAATTTGAAAATTCGTCACCAAAAATGACGACAACTCTCATTGTTTTCATAATCAGCAGCACTTTTGTTATAATGGTTTCAAAACTCGTCACAAATCCACACAAAAATGCGAAATCTTCAAAATTTTGTCCAACGTTGCATCGGTGCCCATTCCTGCTTCTTGCATGGCCTCTAGCTCAGACAAGAGAGTAAATGAGCGACCAGCCTGCACTTTGAAAAGCTGGCATCTTCACCTTTCAGTAAGCCAGTAATTTTTCCATTGGCAAAAGTAATTCATAACAGCACAGATCAGCAGAAGGGTATGTCCCGCTGTTGAGGTGAATTTCTGCAAAATACGACCCTTTTCCCTTGAAAAATCCATTCGGTCATCCTCTTCCATTTGTCATCCTACCTATCGTCTTCATGAGTTTTTCAACTTCCTAGCGTCCGTTTCACCTATTCTTTCCTAAAAAAATCGTCGAGTGGAGGGGAGGGGGTATAGTTCTTCTGAAACCAGGATTAACCAGGAGAAGCACAGGCGTTGTTTACAAGAACAAGTATGATACCCCTCCCACCGGCTACCAAAACCCCTTTCAATGGGGATCCCCAGTGCAGAAAGTGCCCTGAGGGTTCATGGGAGGCCTTTCTTGGAAAGTCATGTAAACTTGTTGAGTTCCGCCTGTTCTTCTCCTTCTAACCAACATTAGAACAACAGTTGGAAAGAAGGACGCTCCTTATCCTAAAAATCCTTCAGATGCTAGGGAGGAAAAAGGAGTCATAGGGAGGGAGATGGATCGTTTTTGAATTACTGAATTTTTTTCAACATTTTACGATTTTTTGCCGCGTTTCAGTCATACAAGCTCTAAGCAGCGCTTCTGCAATAATCGTTTTCTTATAGACGAGTGAGTGTCCACTAGCCCTGTCCTCTCACATACCATATGATTTAGGCGGATACAGATTTAACAGCAATTTAATTTATTTATTAAGGCCGTGCAGAAAGAAAATCCAGCAGAAATTCACACAGTCTGCTGCCATTTCTTCGTCCATAAGGCCAGCAGCGCCGTGCAGGTCGTTTGTCTAATGTGCTCGCCAATACCACACCCTATTCCACGTAAATTTCGAGAAAATATTAAAAAATAATAGGCGCTGTTTTCTATTCATTTCAGATTCACTGTCGAGCACCCTATATAAAGCAGTTGTGGGTATGTCATGACAAGATTTCTAAATTTGGAAGCAATATCGTCCTAATTTCATCCGGGACTGTGTTTCAAACGATGGAGTTGGAACTACGATCCACTGGCGTTTGACTAAAATCTTCTTAGTTTTCTTTAAAGAACGAGCTGCGAATAGCCCGGATCTAAAGCAGTGTGAGCCTGAGAAGAGCAGTGCGTTCAGGGTCTGAAGGGGCAGCAGGTAAGGAGTCAAAACGTGTATTCTCTGAACGCTGACTAGATGGAAAAACAGATTGAGCACTTCATGGAAACTGCTGAGTCGCCTGGAGAAGTCTCTGTAATTGGGAAATCCATGATTTATTGTGTTTGCAGAGATCGCTGTTGGATCTGACACAATGATTCGCCTTTGGCTTGTTTGTTGTTGTGACTATTGCTGGCTTTTTGCAGAGGTTCCAGTTGCGAGTTATTGTCTCAAGAGCAAATTTTTTGCTAATAGCTCATGAAAAATTGAATTGTGGCATTCTTATGCTGCATATAATTCATCCCACCCTCTAGAGCTGTTTGCAATTACCAAGAAAAGTCATGCAGCTTTTGACAGCAAATATGTCAAATGCACCTCCCTACTGTTTTATCATCGCTGTGCTGTGCTACATAGCCTCGTAGTATCATACTGAACTTTATTGCAGAAAAATTAAGTTTTGTCAATTCTTCTGAAGCGAGGGAGCGAAGCCGATCTGCTGGTTGCCAACGTCGTAGATTTGACAGAATTGGCGAATGAATGGGTCACCGAGAATCCAGGCAGGACCAAATCCACCGCTATTCATTCCGAAGAACGACAGAATACAGCGGCCATCACCAGATGGCACGATCATGTTCTTCGCTTCAATGCTGTATGTGTTTTGTCCAATGACGAGATCAAGGGACGCCTTGGCGTCGCAGTCGATGAAGTACACTCCGTTCGATGGGTCGTACTATAAAAGTAGCAGTAACTAATTATATTTGGGTGTGACGAGTTGAAATGAATTTTGTTTGAAATTTCTTAGGACCTCACCATTGCTCCAACTTGTCTGGCAACCTGCTGTGCAACGGAGGATGGACCACCAATCAATGAAGTTCCGGTATCGGAGATCACTTGCCAACGCCTCCTCGTAGAGTATTGGCCAGATTTTGCTCCATTCATCTGAAAGGTGGTACATAAAGGCACGGTCTACGATAAAAAGCACTGGTGATGTTGCAGAAATATGGAAGAAAATTCGCCAAGTGAACCGTCTATGAAGAGAAAATGCCAAAGGGAACGTTGGAAACGCATTCGTCAGGCCTCCTCTAGCCTCAAACAACTGTAGAGGTAAAAGACCGAAAAGAGGCCGCGCGCTGGGACGATTCCCGTCGACTGATTCCCAGTAATGAACCTATGACTCTACAGAGAGATATTGAATGCATTCACTCCGTGATACTTGCCCGGGAGCATTACTTTTGGCTGGAAGGCCGACTTTGGAGGCGGAGTCTGGAGGCGGAGTCACTGGAAAAAGGGATGTACCACTGAAGCAACTTTGCGCCTTAATCCCTTTACCGTACAACTTTCCGCCGCGAAACTGGCACAGGGTTGTCCACTCCGGACCGCACTACCTTCCCACATAACCTCTTGCATTTTCATAGGTCATCGCGGACCGTTCCTTTAATTTTGTTCTCTATGTAATCCTGAGCACCAACCTTCCCTGGACCGCACTTTAAGTTGATTTTTGGACGCAAGCAGGTGAACACGCCGACCGGATTAGTTCCCTCTCCCCCCCTCCAGTTGTCATCAGGGCGCAGGGCATGCTTGCAATGTGTTATAGCGCGAACCTCATTTGGTGCCGGATCTGTGAGTGATTTGACCACTTGTTTATTGAGTTGCTTTCAACAGGATCGTATCGAAAAGTCGAGGGAAATTTCCGGGATCCTTCTATAATAACCAGTGTCCCAGAAGGAAGGTTTGGGTCACAATGGACAACGGACAACTGATAGAGCGGTAGGGGGTGTTGAGGTGTTAGCGCAAGCTTCCTTGCATGACCTCTCTCTGATCTCAAGCCCGAAATCCTCAAAGATGATTCGCCTCTTGTTTGGGACAAGGATGGCCTTATTCGGCTTCCTGCATTTTTTCGCTACCCGCCAAAGTTTTTCGCAGGCCAATCGCGAAATGTGTCTGGAGACGGGAAGGTGACTCTGAACCTCTGACATTCTTCTTTTTAGGCTTTTGCTCAAAAAATGGCTTAACAATTTTCGGAATTTTTTTGTGTCCTTGAAATACTGAAATTCCTGAACATAATGTGGTTAAGGACTTGCCGTGAACTGCCAATAGGTAGCAGATGACAGGGGCTCATAGGCGATAATTGGTCCACAGTTGTTGGTGTCAATTCCACCATAAGTGTACACACCACCGTCAACATTTGCCTGCTCTGAAAATTACAGTACGTTTGGCTTTCAGCCTACTCTAGTACTAATCAAGTTCATTCATTCACCCACCTCCAACGTGTTTCATGAAGACTGTGAAGACAGGTTGATCGAGCAACCCTGTTGTATAGCGTTGATGAGTGGTGGAGTGACTCCAGCCTCGGCGATGCTCTTGAATGCCAGGCCAAGGATACCGTCAATTGGTTGCTGTAAAATGGCACCTTAAGGTAGGGTTTTACCAATGGTATATGATATTTCAGACTCACCCCGGCAAAGAAGGGCGCGAGCTCCGTCGCTTGTCCGAATACAGTATTTTTGACGACCAGTTGGTTCGTACCAATGGAGCCGAATCGAACAGTGTCTTGACCGAGGAAGCCTGATGCCGAACCGGTACCATACTGAAGTGCCAGTTTTTGAGTGAGATGAGGAACTTATGGAGAGTTTTGCGTGGTGATCCTTGTATTCTCGAGCCTTCTTTATCTCGTGGGTGGACATATTCATAAAATGAACCTGAATGTTCCATCTTCTTCCCTGGCGCACATACGTAGTTGATTTCGAGGAGTCGAATTTGTCCTTGCCATCACATGCATCACCATAGTTGTAGGTTCGCATGAACGTGTCGGAGAAGCCTGCTCTTCTGCAGCAAGTCTGGTCCCTGCACAGGAACGGGCAGAGCGCTAAAAGGGAAAGGGAAATGTCTCCTCTATGGCGCAAAAATTCATTTTTCCTCAGAATCTTTGTGTCATAAATGAAATGTGAGGTAAAATGAGTAGTAATCCTTAGAGTAAGAAGTCACGCTATTCCCTTACTCGGTCAGCCCACTGAGTTCATTTCACTACGGTGCAACCACCCGGCTGCTCACCCCTTCGTATTCGAACGAAGAATGAAGTGCAACCCGAAGGCATGTAGTCAAGGTGAATATATCTTAGGCCAGAAACTCAGGCTACGCTGGCAGCAAGTATCATAGGGATTTATCGCACACACCATTGGACCCCATTTCCTCTTTTTCTTCATCGAGCTTCGTGCGTTTAGAGATCCTCGCTCAATAATTTCTTTTTCTAAAAAGAATGCAAGCACGAACCTGCTTGATTCACATGGAAAGCTGTGCTATTCCCTCTTAAAGAGAGAGAAGGATGGGCGCTGTTTGTCGTGGGGGACGGCACTTTTGTACTACTATTGCTTCCGCCTCGGTTCCGGTCTACCAAATCTCACTCCGCTACTACTTCGTGGAACGCTTGTAAAGCCTGGAGTAAAATCGTCCTAAGCCACCATCCTGAAAACGTGTCAACGTCGAGAAACATGTACCACCATAGATGGGTCGGCACCGTTTAGGCAAGCAAATGACCCCAGCCAGTCGACAAACTGCGCCGAGAAGGATTTTTACCCCTGAGGAAGATTCTCCTTGGTCAGCCAAAGCACTGCTATTTTGATCAGCACGAAAAGAAAAACCTAGACTTACTCCAAAGAAATTCGTAATTCATAAGTGCAAAATGAGCTTACGTCCGATCTTGCAACCCATCGAATCGCAGCTGTCGCCTCCGCCACCACCTTTTCCGCATGTCACGTCGGGTACCCATAGGTTAGACGACCCCGTGTCGAGAACCACCTGAAGCATGTCAGTATTAGTTAGTTATTAGTCAGTATTAGTTATTAATTTGGTCTGTAAAGGACATCTGTCAACAGCGCGGGGTGTTAACAGTGGTTATTTCCTTGACTGGGGGTTTTTTAGAGGACGACTTTGGGTAAGAACGGGACTGGGGTCATTCTGAATTTTTTCGCTTGCTCTAGGGAAAAGGAGCTGTGATAATGGGGTTAGCTCTGCAGAGAAAGTAGCTTCGAAGATGGGAAACCAATTTCTCACATGAGCATTCCACATTACAGTAATCCCACCTTTTCAAAATGAGCACTTCGGCCATTAACCGATACCTTTGGAACTTCTTCAGAACCTAACTCACTCTGAATTGTTGCTCAGGTGTTCCAATGGTAATGTTCCCGAGGTATTCCTCGTCATCGAAGTCGCTGACCTGAACAGCTCAAAAATATCTTTCTGAAAGCTGATCTGCCCCACTAACCTCAATAATCTGGCACGAACCCTCTGTTGGTATGGTCCATTTATGGCCGTCAACTGTGTCATAGAGCGAGCAATATTCTTCATTTGCACGTGGCGAGCCCAGGTTCCTTCGCGAATCATTTTCGCCCTCTGTGATTCGATCTTCACAAGAGGAATCTGGTAGACACCTGCTAAGGTGCAGCCCACCAGGGCTATAAGAGCCAATAGCAAACGCATTGTGCTGAAAGCAGTCTGATTACTGTACCACAACTAGTGTGAATAAGCCTAAATGAGCTAGGATATCGGAGAGCAGATGGACAAGAGTAGAGAGAGCTTACGGTGTAGAGCAAGTAAGACAAGGACTGGACTCTTTCACGATTTCCTCTACGAGCAGGCTCGCCTCAGCTTGGAACTGACTATATCGCGATAAAAACCGTTAAAAGAGAAGAGCATGTCAGTATGGCTCCAAATCGGAAAGAGACGGGGAAAAGAATCAAAGCATGAGACACTTTTGTAGGTTCAAAAATGCTATCAGTTCATCTAACCCTCCTAGATATTTATACTGTACCTTTTTGGTGTGTCCGCACTTATTATCAGTAAAGTACGGTCTAAAGTCTTAATTCTGGCCGATCATGTCATCACATGATTGCCATGATAACCCAAATCATCTCGAGAGAATTCTCAGAGGATTATATGATTCACATCCGGTTGTCTCCGGTCAGCAGAGCTACGGTATCACTAAAACAGCGCCTCCCATCTTAAAGGAAAAGGGTTGCGGCGCTTTCAGTATAAGCCACGTATGTGCTTGCGTGATAATAACGGAGAAAAGCCTCCTTTTCCGCCATTCTTCATGCGAATTCATCCTTCTGAAGACATCCTCTTAACCTTGTTGTGTGTAGAAGCGCCTCCACACAGGGGTCATGTGAAGCACAGCCTAGAGGAACTATGTGTTGGGCCCGCCCTAGAAAAAGTGGGATTCCAAGCAGTGTTTGAATTGTACTCGGATCCATGTTCGTTTCTTGGACATCATCAGTCAGAGATTCTCCCCCCCCTCGCACTCCGTCCAATCTATTCAAGCCTGAAAAAGCCCTTCGTCTTCTAGCTCTCGAGATAGTCCACGCACTTTTTATCAGCTTAGGGTCGTGTTGAACGGTTTGACCTGGACAATGACTTGAAACCACAAATATGCTTGTAACAGAGGCGGAGTGGGGCATTTGTGCAACATTCATTGGCGAGCCTTTTGTTCCCTTGTAACCCAGAGAAAGTGTAGCCTTTCACTAGAGGGATAGAGCGACTCCCTTTCGTTCCCTTGTGAACCCAGAGGAAGTGTAGCCTTTCACTAGAGGGGTAGAATGACTCAAAACTCCACCCATGCGCCCTAGGTCTTGA